GGGCGACGCTTTGCTGAGCATCTCTGTTCCGGAGGCCCGGGGGTCTGGCGGAGAGCGTCAACACGCTCGGTGCTCCGATCGTGCTGTGGTCAGGATGATGGAGCTGGTCTTTAGAGATTTGAGTCCCACCGATCCCCTATTGTCCTTCGGTCAAAGCGGCTTCCGCACTCGGTGGCTCGATCTTCTTTCGGCGCTGGGCGTCCCGCTCGCCAGAGCGCCATCGGGGTTCGATCTGTCCCCTGCGCTGCGCTTCAGAACCGATATTTCGGACGGCATAAATCGCGTCTTCTGGCGTGATCGCTGGCGGCTAGCTTCCAGTACAGAGCGCTATCTCCACGATGCTGCCGCCTCTGCAGTCCTCCCATCGTTGGCTGAAGCCGCTCGGGACCGCGTTTCTTACCTCGCCGAAGCAAGCGACCTCCTCGTCGCATCCTTTCTGAATGTTGGCCCAGCTGCGTGGCCCATTCAGCTCGCGGCCGCCCGCCGAAACCTTGTCACTTCGCAAGGGCTTTGAGCCTGGGTATGGCTGCTGCGGCCTCCCTTGGCCGCCCGGGGGCCCTCGTTGGACGAGGCCGCCTGAGAGCGTCGCACGGCCCGCCCGCGTAGGCCTGTCCCGCTTTACGGGCCGCCGCGGGCGCGCGCCGCGCGTTCGCCCTGAGACGACTGCTCACTTGCGCAGCGTGCGGGGATGCTTCTTCTTATCCCCATCGCGCCCGCTGATTGCAGTCGTCTGCAGCTTCTCGGCCCCCTCCCTCTCTCCTCCCTCCTTCTTCGAAGGCTGACCTGCGGCGCTGCTGCGGCCTCCCTTGGCCGCCCGGGTGCCCTCGTTGGACGAGGCCGCCTGAGAGCGTCGCGCGGCCCGCCCGCGTAGGCCTGTCCCGCTTTACGGGCCGCCGCGGGCGCGCGCCGCGCGTTCGCCCTGAGACGACTGCTCACTTGCGCAGCGTGCGGGGATTACTATTACTACTTCTACTACTACTACTACTACTACTACTACTACTACTACTACTACGGCGACGACTACTACTACTACTATTACGTCTAACTACTAACTACTCCTATTACTACTAGCACGACTAGCACTACTATTACTACTACTGCTACTACTACTTCTATCATGTCTAATACGACTACTACGACTGCTACTATTATTATTACAACTACTACTAGTACTACGACGACTACTACTACGACTACTACTACTACTACTACTACTACGAATATGACTACTATTACTACTACTACTACGGCTGCGACTACTACTACTACTACTACTACTACTACTACTACTACTACGACTGCCACGTCTACGATTACGACTACGACTACGACGAGTACTACTACTACGACTACTAGTACTACGACTACGACTACTGCTACTACTGCTACTACTACTACTACTATTACCACTACCACTACTACTACTACTACTACTACTACTACTACTTCTACTACTATTATTACTACTACGACGACTACTACTACTACTACGAATACTAAATCTACTAGTATTGTTACGCTTACTACGACGACAACTACTACTACTACTACTACTACTAATACCACTACTACTACTACTACTACTACTACTACTACTAGTACTACTACTACTACTACTACTACTACTACTACTACTACTACTACTACGACTACTACTACCTACGACTACTACAAGGGGGGGGGGGGGGGGGGGGCGACTATACTACTACTACTACTACTACTACTATACTCTACACTACTACGCTGTAATATGATGAACGAGGCTGTGCTGTGCTTACCACTACTACCACACCACTACTACTACTACTACTACTACTACTACTACTACTACTACTACTACTACTACTACTACTCTTAGTATTTCCATTACGACTACTACGATTACTCTCATGACTACTAAGACTACGACTGATGCTGCTACTTTTATCTGTATTATTCTTACCACGACTACTCATACTGTAACAACTGCTACAACCTTCCGGAGCAAATTGCATGATGTCCTGCCCAGTGGAAAGCTGTACAATTCGGATCCACGCTGGGCCCCGCCCCCCAGAGTGCCTTGCGCGCTGCCAAACGCACAGCGGTGCTCAATTTCCTACGCCCCTTGGATTGTCCAGCCGAGTGGTGTCCCTCGCGGGTCCTAGCTGGGCCTTCCCCCCTGTGTGCTGCCAAACGCGCAGCGGCCCCCAGGCTCCTGCGCCTCTTGGGGCGGTCCAGCGGCGTCCTGCGCGGAACTACTAAAGAACGCGCAGCGGTCCCCAGGTTCCTGCGCCTCGAGTGAGCCGCAGGGTGGGCATGCGCCGCCGCACGGCCCCCCCTTGACTGCGCAGAGCCGCTTGCCGCCTCCCCGCAGGGCCCGGCGCGCGGAGGGCCCTCCGAGGGGCCGAGCACCCCGCCGGAGGCCGCAGGCGCCGTTGGGCAGCAGCCCCGTGCATGTGGGGTGCGCCGTGCGTCTGGTGGGGCTGACGAAGGACGGCTGCAAGGCGCCGATGCACCGCCACCCGACGACGGCGACCGCGACCTGCACGGCGACCTACACGGCGGCGGCGACGGCAGCGGCGACGGCGACGGCGGCCCGTCGACACCTCGCCTGTTCAAGCGTTTTTGCCGTTCGGGCCCGCGGGAGGGGCGAGGAGGAGGAGGAGGGGGGAGGAGGAGGAGGAGGAGGAGGAGGAGGAGGAGGAGGAGGAGGAGGAGGAGGAGGAGGAGGAGGAGGAGGAGGAGGAGGGGGTGTAAAGGAGGAGGAGGAGAAGGAGGAGGATGAGGAGGAAGAATGCGGAACGAGGGAGGCGGAGAGACTGCGCAGCCTCAGCGCCCCGGTCCGCGTGCCGCCTCGAAGTGCGCGTGCACGGTCCTCCTCAGATGTCGGTGCCAGCTCGCGCCAGCCCTGGACAGGAGGGAAGGACGAGAAGAAAGGAGGAGGAGGAGGAGGAGGAGGAGGAGGAGGAACGAGGAGGGGGAGGGGGAGGAGAGGAGGAGGGGCAAGGAGGAGGAGAGGAGCAGGAGGAGAGTGAGGAGGGGCAGGAGGAAGGAGGGAGGTAAGGGAGGAGAGGAGGAGAGATGAGGATTGGAGGAGATAAGGAGGTGGAGGAGGAGGGGAGGAGTAGGAGGAGGAGGAGGGGAGAAGGAGAGGAGAGGGGAGGGGAGCAGGAGGAGGAGGCCTGGCACGCTTGCAGGGGCATCCTCGGAGTCCCACCCCCCGGGGCCTGCGGGGAGGCCCCCCGAAGGTCTCGCCGCGGTCCGAGCCGCCCGCGCGGGAGATGCGCGTGCCCGTGGTCAGCTGTGCGGGGCGCGAGCTCGCGACCCTGGACGCCGACCCGTCGTGGCGTGCGCGCGACGTGCTCGCGGCTCTGCCGGCGGACGGCCGCGACGTGAGGAGGCGGGTGTTCCTGGGAGAGGTGGCCCTCGTCGCCCATTCGTCCTCCGCATCTACTCCTTGACGTCTTCGTCGTTCTCCCCCTCCTCCTCCTCCTCCTCCCTCCTCCTCCTCCTCTCCTCCTCCTCCTGGCCGTTTTTTCTCCTCTCTTCTCTCTCTCTAGCATAATGTATGTCTTTCGCTCTCTCTCTCTCTTTCCATCTCCCCCTCTCTCTCTACATATATATATTATATATATATATATATGTGTGTGTGTGTATCCCTTCCCCCTCTCTCCTATCTTCCTCTCCCTCTCTCCCTCCCTCCCTCCCTCCCTCCCTCCCTCTTCGCTCTGTCTCCTTCACGTCTCCTCATGCTCCGCATCAGCCTGACTACCTCTGCGTGAAGCGGTCGCTCCTCCTCCTCCTCCTCCTGCCTCCTCCTCCTCCTCCTCCTCCTCCTCCTCTTTCGGCCAAAACTACGGATTCTCGTCTTCTTTCTCATCCTCTGATCCTCCGCCTCGTCGTCATCACCACCACCACCGCCACCATCACCACCACCATCATCGGCTTCCTCTCCATCGCCTCCTCCCCCCTCCTCCTTCTCCCCCCCCATTCCCTTCCCCTCCCTCCACCTCAGCACCTCCCCCTGATGCCCAGCGGCCGCTGCCGCTCCCCGGAAGCTCGAGGAGGGGCAGCGGCCGGGGCGTCGCCGCTCCCCCTGGAGCTGCGCGGGGGGAGGCGGGGGAGGCGGAGGAGGAGGCGGACGAGGAGGAGGAGGAGGAGGCGGAGGAGGAGGAGGCGGAGGAGGAGGAGGAGGCGGACGAGGAGGAGGAGTAGGAGGAGAGGAGGAGGAGAAGGATGATCATGATGATGATGATTATGATGATGATCTAATGATGTTGGATGATGATGATGATGATGATGATGATGATGATGATTATGATGATGATGAGGGAGGAGGAGAGGAGGAGTATGAGGAGAGGAGGAGTCGGAGGAGGCGGAGGGGCGGAGGAGGCGGAGGAGGCGGAGGAGGCCGGAGGCCAGGCGCCGCCGCTGCCCCCCGCGGCGTGCGCCGCCGCCGCCCTTGCCCAGGCCCGGAGCTGCCGGGGCGCGACCCTCGCCGAGCTCGGGGCCGAGAGCGCTGCAGCGCTGCCCTAAGGGGAGGAGGAGGAGGATGAGTGAGGAGAGAAGGAGGAGGAGGAGGGGAGGAGTAGGTGAATGGGAGGAGGTGGAGGGGGAGGAGGATGCAGGGGGGAGGAGGGGAGGAGGAGAGGAGGAGGAGGAGGAGTAGGAGGAGGAAGGAGGAGCGAGGACCCTCGTCGCGGCCGCGCCGCTGCGCGTGGCGAACCGCGGGCGCCGACGGCCCCGGCAGCAAGCACACAGTCCCAAATCCTCCCTCATCCCCTTCGCTCCTCTCTCCTCCTCCTCCTCCTCCCACTCCTCCCCCACCCCCCCCTCCCCCTCTCTCCCCCTCCCCCCCCCCTCCCCTTCTTCTCCTCCTCCTCCTCCTCCTCCTCTCTCTCCTCCTCCTCCTCCTCCTCCTCCTCCTCCTCTCCTCTCTTTTAATGTTACTCGTTGTTGTCTTTGTTTTGTGTTTTGGTTTCTCTCTCTCCCTCTCTCTCTCTCTCTCTCTCTCTCTCTCTACACATATATATATATATATATATATCGACCGTGAAATCGCCATCCCTCCCCAGGGCCGGCTCTTCCTCCTTCTGGGATGAGGAACGTTCCAAGGGTGCCCTTGCGTCCTTGCCTGTCCGGCACGTCCACAGCCACTTTCGCTGGCCGGCCTCTCCCTGCCTGGTTATCGATGTTGGTCCCGGCGCCCGTTCGACAAGGACGGGGTTCGGTCAGGGTACCCTTGCGTCGCTTGGATTTTTGCCGTGCGCCGCCCAGAATGCCCATGTTGGGCGTCCAAGGGCCTTGCGTCCTTACCGCGCGCCCTTATCATCCGTTGCGATTGTGCAGCACGCTCCTAGCAGGCGTCAGGGGGGGTCGAGTCGAGACAATGGTGGTTGGCCTTCGGGGGGCTCCCCCGTCGTCGCGGCTGGACGCAGCTCGCAGCGCGAAAAGCCGATGTTGCCGGGCCCTGGGCCTGGCATCGCTTGGACGTGTGCATTTTTTCTCGGCGAGAACCATCGAGGAGCATCCTTGATCATTTGGCGAACAAAAACCGCGCACGAAACCGAAAAACGCACAGGGAATGGACGTCCGAGCGATGGCCAGTGGGAGGGATCCGGGGACCGATTCGGAGCCGCCGTCGTCCCAGACATTCGGCTGCTCCAATGTCATCGATGCGTGGGCCCTGGCTGTCTGGACCACTTCCTTACGGCAAAGTGGTCAGCAAGGCGCTTTGGCGGAAAGCTCATGTGCCTCACGTCGCTATCACTGTGGTGGCGTTTACAACCACGATCTGCAGCATGCATATGATAAGCCAATGGCGTGCAGCAGTTGTATCAGGCTATAGTGTGTGTGTGTGCGTGCCAGCAGGCGCATAGCAAAGCACCCACCCCTCGATCGCAGTAGGACAGTTTTTTTGTCCTGAGTCGGTTTGGGACGGTCACAGGGCCTGGCCGAAAACTGCCCAAAACCAGACGCTCCAATCTGTTCCGGAGTGTTCCGGCGCGCTTGCATTCGCGATGCAGTATTTCACATCTTTCTTTGGCCTTCGTGCCATGCGGATTCTTTGCCCCTGCGCCGCCTAGGCGCGGCTTCTTGCGTTGCGTTGCGTTCGGTTGCTCCACAAGCGCACGCGGGGAGTCAGGAGCGAAACAAGGACGTACACGTACACGAATCCACGCTGGTTTCGAGAGTACGCATTGCCCGAATGCTCATGTCACGCGGCCAGTCTCGCGGATCGAGGGGCCGTGTTTGTGTACATCGCTGGGCGCGCACGTCCTCTGTGGGCCCCCTAGCCTAGGGAGGGGATGCCACCCCCGCCGGCATGCCCAAGAGGGACCTCTGCCGTGGGCAGCGGCGGAGGCGGCGGGGTGGTTCCCGTCCTCCTCCTTCTCCTCCTCCTCATCCTCCTCCTCCTCCTCCTCCGCCCCATGTTCTGCACGAGCGAGATGGGCACGGAACGAAATGGGTACGGAAAGAATGGGTACAATGCCCAACAGCAGTTCCTTTTCTCGGGGGTGGGCAGACCTCCTACCCTGACACGTCGATTAAGGAATTGGCCGTTTCCGGTTCGCGAGAGGGCCCATTTTTGCGGGCCCCGTCATTTTTGCGGGTCCAGGTCCGTCGGTGTCGGTCCCAGGCTGCTTTCATGAAGGGGAGGTTTGCTAAAGGGAGGTTTGTCCACCGCTGATCTAGGGTTAAGTCAGGCATGTCCCTCTACAGGAGGACTCTTCAAGAATAGGCCAACAAATAGTCTGGGGGCGATTGTCCTACTATTAGCGAGTATGTGTTTGGTTGCTATTTTCTGGTTTCTTCCAATATCCGCCTGTAGGAGGACATGCCCGACCTAAGTCTAGGGTCGGCAGCCTGCTGCGCACGAGCTCGCGATCACAGCTCCTCGTCGAGCGCGTTCCACTACTCGCAAAGTGCCTACTCGCAAACGTCAAATTATCCCGGCAAAGCAACCTAACAGCGATGTGTAGGAGCATATTTGGAAGCATTCCCCTTAAGATTCAGATGAGAATCCAGTTGTAGAAATCTGCTGTTCTCGCAGTCGTAGTCGCATTCGCGATGACAGTCGCTGTGGCAACGGCAGTCGCAGTCACAGCCTCAGCCTCAGCCTGCCTCAGCCTCAGCCTCAGCCTGCCTCAGCCTCAGACTGCCTCAGCCTCAACCTCAGCCTGCTTCAGCCTCAGCCTCAGTCTGCCTTCAGCCTCGGCCTCAGCCTCAGCTTGCCTCAGCCTCACCCTGCATCAGCCTCAGCCTCAGCCTCAGCCTGCTTCAGCATCAGCCTGCCTCAGCCTCAGCCTCAGCCTGCCTCTGCCTCAGCCTCAGCCTGCTTCAGCCTCAGCCTCAGTCTGCCGTCGGCCTCGGCCTCAGCCTCAGCCTGCACCCATCCCTCAGCCTCTCAGCCTCGCCTCCTCAGCCTCAGCCTGCATCAGCTCAGCCTCAGCCTCAGCCTGCCTCAGCATTAGCCTGCCTCAGCCTCAGCCTCAGCCTGCCTCAGCCTCAGCCTCAGCCTGCTTCAGCCTCAGCCTCAGTCTGCCTTCAGCCTCGGCCTCAGCCTCAGCCTGCCTCAGCCTCAGCCTGCATCATCCTCAGCCTCAGCCTCAGCCTGCCTCAGCATCAGCCTGCCTCAGCCTCAGCCTCAGCCTGCCTCAGCCTCAGCCTCAGCCTGCTTCAGCCTCAGCCTCAGCCTGCCTTCAGCCTCGGCCTCCGCCTCAGCCTGCCTCAGCCTCAGCCTGCATCAGCCTCAGCCTCAGCCTCAGCCTGCCTCAGCCTCAGCCTCAGCCTGCCTTGGCCTCAGCCTCAGCCTGCTTCAGCCTCAGCCTCAGTCTGCCTTCAGCCTCGGCCTCAGCCTCAGCCTGCCTCAGCCTCAGCCTGCATCAGCCTCAGCCTCAGCCTCAGCCTGCCTCAGCATCAGCCTGCCTCAGCCTCAGCCTCTGCCTGCCTCTGCCTCAGCCTCAGCCTGCTTCAGCCTCAGCCTCAGTCTGCCGTCGGCCTCGGCCTCAGCCTCAGCCTGCCTCAGCCTCAGCCTGCATCAGCCTCAGCCTCAGCCTCAGCCTGCCTCACCATCAGCCTGCCTCAGCCTCAGCCTCAGCCTGCCTCAGCCTCAGCCTCAGCCTGCTTCAGCCTCAGCCTCAGTCTGCCTTCAGCCTCGGCCTCAGCCTCAGGCTGCCTCAGCCTCAGCCTGCATCAGGCTCAGCCTCAGCCTCAGAGTGCCTCAGCATCAGCCTGCCTCAGCCTAAGCCTCAACCTCAGCCTGCCTCTGCCTCAGCCTCAGCCTGCTTCAGCCTCAGCCTCAGTCTGCCTTCAGCCTCGGCCTCAGCCTCAGACTGCCTCAGCCTCAGCCTGCATCAGCCTCAGCCTCAGCCTCAGCCTGCCTCAGCATCAGCCTGCTTCAGCCTCAGCCTCAGCC